AGTGCCTGGTTTTTCCAGTGATAACTTTCCAAGATACTTGGTGCATTTTCACGAAGAGATATTAGAACACACTGATCTTCATGCGGAGATTACACACAGCGTTCACCATCTTCAGAGATTACACACAGGGTTCACCATCTTCATGCAGAGAAGGTCTGTCTTTTTTCTTTCTTTCTTTCTTTCTTTCTCTCTCTCTCTCTTCCTTTCTCTCTTTCTTTCTTTCTTTCTTTCTTTCTTCCTTTTTTCCTTCCTTCCTTCCTTCCTTTCTTCCTTTCTTTCCTTCTTTCTATAATAGTGGTACTAGGATTGACTTCCAAGGACTCACACAAGTGCTCTCTCCTACCCCCTTTTTTTTTTCTTTCTCTAGTCCTCTCTGTACTTGTAGTGGTTTTGTGGGTTCTGGGAATTGAACTCAAATCCTGTAAGAGCAGCCAGTGCTCTTAAGTGTTGGCCATGTCTCCACGCCCTCTTTTCCTGTCTTCATGAGAGAAAATCTCTAAGTTAGCAGGTGAGCCCTGAACATGGCAGTTGATCTGCATCAGCCTCCCAGCAGTTGGCCTTGAAGGCCTTTGCCACAGGAGCCAGCATTGTTTTGGTTTATTTGCTTGCTATGTAGATTTTCACATTTTCATGTTCCGGGCATATAAAATGACATGGCCTTGTAGGATTCAAGACACCTAGCTGTTTGAATACTCTCAATAGGGGAACTTTGCAGATACACAGTGGAGATTTTTTATATATATATGCCAGAAAATTACTATATTTACAGCTCATGAAAAAAAAACATAAAAATCATAGATAAAATATGGAAATGTATGACAAGTGTCCGTTGTACATATGGAAAGAATGTCCACCCACAGGGAATGAAAAGACCATGGAATCTTTTATTTATCATTGGCCAGTAGGTAAAAGACTGTTGCCATCTGGTCCTAGCACAAACTCAGCTGTGCCTCTTTTATCTATTAATGTATGTATGTGTCTGTCCTTTGACCCCGGATAGTTCCTGTGACTTACTAGAGAGCACTGATGTGCATCCAAGGCTGTTTTGTGTATCCTAGCAAAAACATGAAAGCAGCATGAGTGTTTGTCATGCATGTTGTTTGTTATTTATGCATAGAAGTAATGGCACTTCCTTCTACATATGCATACAAAGAAATCACTAGAATTTATGCTGTTTCAGCGAATAACTGATTCTTTGGGGCGGAAGAATGAAAGTAATTTAGTTACTCTTAGAAACTTGATTATTATAATACTGGTTTTTACCTTGTGATGCTGCTTGAGTAATTTAATAGTTTCCTAATAAAGTACTAACCAAAAGATTTGGAAGTCAGCCCTGGTTATCTTACACAGACTCGTTTGTACTCAGTGTGCGTATTAGGCTGTGCCTCAGGTCTTCCACAGTGGAAGTTCTCCAGTCTTGTGTGGTCATTCGTTCCAACGTGGGACAGCACACACTTATCCTGGAGTTTCCTTGTGAAGTGCAAGCTGCATTATTCCTGCAGCTAACCTTCCTCCAAAGAGTATGAGAACGGCTGGCCCAATCTTTGTCAGTTCTTTTCCTAAGTATTAAAGAGTAATAAACTGATGATAAAGGGAACCTTATATAATATTTGGATTGGTAAAAGGTTTGTTGCTATTCTAATAGAAATGAAGGGCTGTTAGCCATGTTATCTGTGCTTGTGGGAACACATCAAGTTCTGGACTCCAGGGTGGCTGGGGGCAGTTGTGAGGCCTGTGTCTTCTGGGCTGTGGCAAGGACCTAGCTCAGGTTTTTTGTAAGGATCCATATAATTTTGTAATATCAAACATGTACTAATCAGATATTTAAAAATAATCTTGGGCCAGCAAGATAGCTTGGTGGGTAAAGGTCCCCACTGTCAAGCCAGGTGACTGGAGTTCATACCCGCATGTGGATGGGAGGAACTGACTCCCAGAGTTCACACCCGCATGTGCATGGGAGGAACTGACTCCCAGAGTTGCCTTCTGACCTCCACTCATGCTGTTGCAACAACAGCAGAAATTTTAAGAGAACTCATTAAGCTTACCAGCCAGTGTTAACTAAACTCTCGTGGTTTTAAAAAAGGATAGTGGTTTGAATTGAAAGGGAAAAATAACAGCAGTTCTGCCCCATTTTCTTGTGCAAGTGGACTATTCTAGTAGCTGCAAGACTGCTATGTAGCATGTTGCCACTGACTTTTCCCTTGCAGGTCGCTGGGGCTCAGAGTATTGTTTCTCTGATCTAATCAACGAACGCTGTTAGCAGAGAAGGCTTTGAAAGCCCAGATCTTTTTCTACTAGTCTTTTTAGCATGTGAACTGCAAAGTCAGCCGGGAGGTTGGAGAGGATGTTTTGCTCCACCCAGCTTGGAGTACTTGAGCATTCAGGATGGATTTTTGGAACATGCTTTTAAAATACTTGTTTTTTAGTAATATCATTTGTTTCCAGACTGTGTAGGGCCAAAGTGAAATTCACTTTGTCAGGTGTAAGAAGAAGAATCTGAGGAAGTCTTTGGAAAAGTAGTTTTGAGATAATCTAAGACACCTGCTGTTCTGATGGCATAAATCAAAAATAACTATTCTAAAATTATTTTAAATAATTTTATTTAAATTATTCTAAATTATTCCTTCCTCCAGCCGGTGTCATAGACGAGGATTATAGAGGAAATGTTGGTGTCGTGCTCTTTAACTTTGGAAAAGAGAAGTTTGAAGGTGAGTTAAATATGTAGGAAATTGAGTTACCTGTGTTAGTAAAACTGACCCTAGTTCTCATTGAATAAGACAGGATAGCAAATACATCCATAAGTATCAATAGTAATCTGTGTTTCTTTTTCTTTTTTTTTTCTTTTTAAGTAAAAAAAGGCGATCGGATTGCACAGCTCATTTGTGAGCGGATTTTTTATCCAGACTTAGAAGAAGTTGAAGTGAGTGTAAATGCCGAGTGGAGAAGGCGTGGCGTCTCAAAGTGCAGAGGAGGAACGTTTGGGAGTGTGCTGTGTGTAGCCAAACAGTGTGCGCGACCCGCGCTAGTTAAGCTGGATTGGTTTTTCAGTGTGAGACTGTTGAATGTTTTCATCTGAAAGAGCGCAGCCTTTCGGATGGTGGGGTGACAGGGTAGGCTAAGGGTTTGCGGGGTGTCCGGAGAACTGTGACTGATTGGCGTGCCTTCTTCCTCTCTTGTCTTTCAGACACTGGATAACACTGAAAGGGGCTCAGGAGGTTTCGGCTCCACTGGAAAGAACTGAAAATTTGCTGAAGTGTTTTGCTGTGTCTGCGCTCTAAAGAGGAGCTTCAGTTCTGGCAGCGTGCTATGTCCTAGGATGTAGGAAAGGGAACCTGTTAGTCACATGGGAATGTCTCTCCTGCATCTGGTTGCCTGTGAGGGTTGCACTGAGAGGCAGGCTTGATGAAACCAAGTATGCAATTTTTTTTTTGTATTATTTAAATTCTAGTCCTCGAACTACTGGTTTTGCTCTAATTGCTTTCTTGATTATAAGTTGTTTGCTTGTTTTTTAATTCAATAAAGTTGAAGTCTTTAGCAGAAGCTGTCTTTTACGTAAGCTGATTCAAGAACCAAAAAGCGGTCAAGCGTGACTCAGGGCTGTAACAGCACTTAGAGACTGAGTCAGGAGCATTGCTGGGAGTTAGAGGCCAGCCAGCGCTACTGTGAGATGCTGTGTGAGGAGGGGGAGGTGTTGTGGGACTGAGACGTCAGGTCTCCTCGCCCTGGATTGGAGCCCACAATGGGCAGACTCGACTTGTGCACCAGTGAGGAAGGGACTGCACCCAGGAGCAGAAGGGACTCAAAGGGACCTGCTCCTAGAGCACACCGCACAGCCTGCAAGCAGCTCGGCTGGTCTTGAGTGCCTCACTGTGGATGAAATTGGGGAGGGGTTTCTTCCCCGCATTGCCATTATCACACAGTTCCCTGGCCCGGTACCGGTGTTAGCTTTGGATTATCTGCCTCTAAGTACCTTCCCTCCTGGTCCTGCTGTCTGTGTCCACTGTAGCCTTAAGGTGGCAGAACAGAAAACTTAAAGATGGGCCAATTTTAGCACTAGTAATGATAGCGCTGTAATCTGTGCCTGGACACTTGAGTTATTTTCTGTTGGTGTAAACTGTCCCCTCCCACCCTACCCATTGTTCTAGCTGAGAAATGCCTTCCTGTTTTTTAATCGTCCTAAGAAGAGGTGGGGACGGTATCTTCCCCAAACAAATGTGTGCTCGACTCCCCCACTGGAGGCTGGCTGTGTACTCAGAGGTTCCCATGCTGCCTTTAGTGAAAAAGGAAAGGCGCGGTGTCCTGAGGGAGCGCGTGAAAACCTGTAAAAGCTGTTTATTTGAAAATATGTGGCTAAGTTGGGAAGGGTTTTTTTTTTTTTTTTAATTAAGCAGGTCTCGTGGAATAAGTCTAGTGCCTGTAAAAGATTTTAGACAAAATTAATAACATCATTGTGTTTTGGTCTTATTTTAAAGTGGGTTTATGGGAGTGGGGCAGATGCCATAGTAGCTACTATGATGTAACTCCTACTGAAGCCCCCAGTGCCAGCTTCTCGCCTCCTGGGGCACCTGGACGCATGCAAATACGGACATACACACAAATATAAAAAAATGTTTAAAAATAAATCTCTAGGAAAATACACTCTAAAATACTGCTTATTTTTGCCTGTTGCAGTTGGTAAGTTTTTTTTCCTTTTTGTATTTTCTATAAATTTTAAAAAATGACCAAAAAAAGTTTATATATATATATATATATATATATATATATTTTAAACTGCATTTTCCTTTGATTTATTTTTTTTAACTATTGATTCTTTGGGAGTTTCACATGCACCCCAATTTCACTTATCTCTCTGTCCCCCCAAGTCCTCACCCCTGCAGCGCCCCCCCCAAAGGAAACAACGAAAGCAAACAGGCAAACATAAACAAGAACAAAACAAGCAACAACAAAACTCCTTTTCCAGCTCTCCAGAGACTTCTTCACTCATCCTGGTGGCACTGGGGCCTCGGTGTATCATAGTTCACCCTTTTGTCTTATTAGCTTCACTAGCAAATCTTTGCACTGGGTCGCTGGTCTGGTTCAAGGCCTCTGGTCTCTGGCACACCGTCACTGGATCCTCAGCGGAACTCCTCTGGGATAGCCTGTGGAGATCAGGACCAGTCCCTGCCAAGCTCCAGCAGGTCCTAGATGGGGTAGGGGGTGGGCCTGGGTAGTAATTGAGCTGGTCAGCCCTAGCCATCACCCACGGGCCAGGGGCTGGAGTCAGCTCCCCTACACTCAGGGTTGGTTCACCCTCGCCTGTAGTGAGGGATAGGCTCAGCTCCTGAGTGCAGGGTCAGCAATGGTGACATCCAGACGCAGCTGCTGCCCAGAACCATGTCTGGATTCGTGGTCCTACCTTGGCTGGGATCTGGGCTAAAGTCTGCGTCCCATATTGCCATCAAAGATCACTTAGAAGCCATAGCCATTTGGCTGCCCGAACCATCCCAACCTGAGTAGCTAGGATGTCACCTGGGTCCAAGCTGCTACCAAGGGCCATGTCTGGTTCTGTGGTTCAGCTGCAGCTGGGGTCTGTGTTGATGTCTGTGGCCTATGTCACCTCAGGGGACCTTAGGAACCATGCTAGATGAAGTCAGAGGGGCATACTGAGCTGGTCCTATGAATATTTTTAATACAGAAAATGTGTCTAGGTTTTGAAGAAAAACAGCAATAAGGAAACTGAATTGAGGAACTTACATTCCAGGTTAAGTTAGGTTATTAATAAACTCCCAGATCTCCAGGTTTTTTAATTGTAAAGAGAATATGTCTCATGTCTGGGTGAGGGCCCAGCTTTTAGGGCCCAGCCTGTGACCATGGCAAAATGCTGCCACCTGGTGGCAGCTTTTTAAAATGAGTCTGAATTTTATGGGTAAAACCACCACC